TTTTTCAGTTATTGCTAAAAGAGAGATTATAAAATAAAGTCATTTAATAACTCAATAATTATATTACATTTATTTTTTATATCAAATCAACATATCAAACTATTAAATTCATTTGGGCTATCTGATAGCTCTGATGGTTAGCATTTATTGCATTTGGAAATGTAATAAATAAATTTTATTAAAAATAAAGCCTCCTTATCGTAAATGATAGCATATACTATTTTTGGACATACTAATGGACTTACTCTATGTTGATTTCATATGAGTGATAATTAATTTAGTTGATAAGGATTCTAAATTTAATGATTAAATGCCTCCAATATATATATATATATATATATATATATATAGCTTTATGACTTGATAATAGCTTTAAAATATTTATAAACTAAATGATAATAAATAGTGTAATTAAATTGACCAATGGTAAAATTGTCTACTAATCTTTATTATAATTATTACTTAAGATGACATTGCCACATTAATCGGCATAAAGAAGCTCGCGGCCGTCCGTTAAATTTTAAATAAGGCATGTGCTCAAAAGCGGCCATGTCATATCGCATAAATTTTTTTTTTAATTCAAAGCAAAATTTTTTATAATTTTTGTATAATATTTTAATATATAAATGACATTAAAAAATTTGTGTTATGGTATGCATGTATGTTTAAAAAATTCTCAATTTTATTCCAACCAGATGCCTGAGTCATTTCAGCTGAAAATATTTGCACAAAGTAATAGAAGACAAAATAATAAATAAATATAAAAAAAATAAAATTAAAAAATCACATTCAAAAATGGTAAACTAAAAAGATTGGCGTGGTATTAAATTCAAACAAATAAACATATTATTTAAAAAAAAAGGTAATGAAAGTGCAGGCATCTTTCCAGACTTTATCATCAGCTTTAGCACATCATGCCTGTTTGTTTTTGTATTCAAAATCTATATAACTTTAGAATATTTATTTTTAGGGGGTGTTTGGCTGCAACCTAAATTAAGGTTAAACAAGATTTATCAAATCCAACAAATCTGATAGTCTATGCGATGGAAATGAGCTCGTGAACGATGGCCGTAAGAAATTATTAAATTTGTCTCAAGATCGGATTTATTAAATCCGGATTAACATCCTTGAAGACATGGATCGCTGGAAGAGAAGCCTAAATGCAACAAAAATCGATTTAAGGGAGACTTGGATTTAGTTTTCTTTTTGTTTAATGTTTGGCTGGATTTACACATAATCCATGGCTACATCCTATTTAAATTATGCTACCAAACACTGCTTTAGAAGAATTTACATACATACAGTTCAACATTTCTTAAATAACATATCTACTGGCCAAAACCTTAAGTTTACTTACATAACACCCTAAAATTTCTAATACACCTCCACCACTCAATATACTTCTCCCTTCACCTTTTTTTCTTTTAATGTTGCAATCAAGGAGAGTGATGTGCTGGTTTTATTTCCAAAAGCAGTGGTTTATGCAAGTTAGCTATGTGTTGCAAGGGCGGAACCCAGTTATGGGTGGACAATGATTCTTCTAGAATTTGTAATTTCTCTATATAAATAGTTAAATTTCTTTTTTTTTCTTTTGTAGTTTAGGAAATTTAATAAAGTCCCCCTCCCCACGCCTCCATATATTTTTTCCCCACCCTAAACAAAAATGTTGGTTTCGGCCCTGACATGCAGGTTTTGTCCAATTGACACATAGCAGTGGTTTATGCAAGTTAGAATCCCTGGTCTATATATACATGTATACTTCTATACATATGTAGATACCTCTACACAGGTGTATACTTATGTATGCATCCACACACACACACACACACACACAGATATATATATATATATATACACATTAAAAAAAAAATTGATATTTGGCAGAGGCCCAAATATCGATTTCCCATGCATTTTTTGGCCCCATGATGAGAGCCTCCGCCATGTGCCTAAAATTCCAAAGCCCCCGCGCTACGGTAGGATCGAACTCTTGACCTGAGGAGACTTACAGTGACCCTACCACCAACAAACGAAGATTTGCGGCGGGCGCGGCGCGCATACGACAAATATATATAGTAGCTCCACCGC